GTGCAGACGGCTTAGATAAAGTTAGGAGCGAATAATAACGTTTACCTGGCACCATTTATTATTCTGTAATTTATATTTAATTTGTAAAGCATGTTAAAACATTTTTTCAATAGTGTGGATAGAAAACTTACACGAAAATATTTCGACGTTGGTAAACTTGAAAATAAAAAGTACGTTACTAGCCGTTTTATGGTGTATATTGTAACAAAATGATAAACTCTTATATTTGAAACTTATTTGAGATCAAAGGCCGCACAAATGACAATATATACAGTAATACAGATGTTTTAAGCGTATCCAGTTCATTATAAGTCTAAAAAAATACAATAATTCAATTATTAAAATTTGCCTTTGTGGTATGTTCCCAACATTTACATGTGCTTCCTAAGGCTATGCCAGTCAAATACTACTTTGGTATTGTTTGATTTGTCGTTCTTTGAAGCACATTAGTAAAGTTATACGAGATGTAGAACAACAACCAAGTTATAATATTTAATAATCCAATAAATCTATCCAGATTCCCTAACTCCAAAGATAGGTTTACTACGCTCTCAAATGCAACAGATGGATCTAATGAATAATGAAAGCAGAACAAAGGTCACAGGATCAAGGACAGACTATATAAATAGAAACATGGGATAAAACAACATTGGTAGCTATAATTTTGAAGGGGTACAACAGTGTATTTCCTGTATATAACTACTATGTAATAATGCTATGAACATGCTTATCAAACACTTTAAAGATACCATGATCTAACAAGAAAAAAACAAAGATAATTGTACACAGCACTAGAGTACTCCCAGTCCTAATGTATGGATCTAAATACAACGAAATGTTACTGTAATAATAATTAGATGCATAGAGTGTTCAATACATCTGGCCAGAGCGAATGAAAGCTACCCTGTAAGACGTACTCTAATGGCGAAAATCGAGGAAACTAGACGACGAGGTAGTGGATAAGGATGAGAAAACACAAAAAGAGAGCTGGAAGTCTTTGAAATAAACGTCCTAAGGAAGATATTTGCAACTAGCCACGAAGACGGAATATGGGGATTCAGGTACAACCATGAACTCTACCAACTGTTCAAAGAGATAATAATCTCAGAATTCGTTAAACTTCAGAAACTGCGATAAGCTGATCATGTAGTGAGACTGGAGACCGAAATTTGCTAGACTTGAAAGACTGGAGAAGATCGGCGCGAGACGGGCAAGGTTGGAGGCATAGTTGGAGGAGACCAAGGTGCGATTTGACCTGTAATGCCATTTGAGAGAGAATGGTTAAGGATGCCAGAAACATCTGTGTGGCGAAGTGACACCAAGCAGCAAAAAATAGAAACTAATTGAGAAATGAAGCTTAGTAAGGTCGAGACTCAAAGCACCAATGATTATGATAATATAATAGCTTATCATAGTTTGTCATCACTTATCCCTTTTTGGTTCCTTTCGGTTCTATCTCTACTGTATGTATCTTCATCCTATTGTCTGTCTATCCTACAACCTCAAAAGTATTATTTTTTTACAACCATCTTACCTTACAAATTAACAATTTTTTTGGACTTGAAATCCATATTGAAAGAAAAATTTTAGATCTGATATTTTTGTTGTACTATGCTGCAAACATTATTTTTTATAAAATTAATCCCGATTGTAGTATTTTTTTTCAATATTATTTAATAATGATTGTCATATTGAAATGTCTTTATTGTATGATCCACCACTCAAAAGAATACCTAATAAGCACTAAGCCCTGATGCAATCCTACCTTCATATGAAATATCTCCTACTCCAGTCCTAACATTGTTATTACTTCATCATTCATATTCTCGTATATTCACCCAGAACTCTTTTCTTACTTAGAACTCGAAAAACTCAGCCAGAAGCATTTTAAGGACCAATGCATGTATATAAATGTTTTTTATTTATATTTATGCTTTTCCATCATCTACGCAATTATTACTGTTTCTTAGAATATCGTAAGTATGTGTCTTAACTGATTATAATAATATATAATTAAAAAGACCCTTTCGGGCTACATCACAGAACGTTTTTAGACTAAAAAGTCCATCATTAGTGTATTATTACCTGGAATACGAGTTACCACTTAGTGAATGTAAACGTAAAGATTAAATTTTGACTAAGATTAAAAAAGCAATGTGGTTAAATACTAAAAATTGTATGGTAGGTATTGCATGATGTGAAAATATTTATTATTTGATAATTAAGGGCTAAACTGTTTAATATGTGGATTTATTGAATACAGAAACATAATATAATCTACAGACAATTATAATTAGGAAGATTATTTATTTTTGGTTCATGGTATGCACCCAATTACAGGAATTTCATTTTCCTTGTGGATTTTTTTTATTTTTATTTTGACTAACTTCAGAGCACACACAGTCTTTATTAAACGCTTCCTCTTAACACAATTCTAGTTTTTTTGTTGTTTGTATTTCCATTTCTTCCCTTGGATGCAAGTAATTGGTATTCTTCTTTTTGCTCTCCAACTCGATATTCTTATGTTCTTCTTCTTTGAGTACCGTGCCCAAGTTTTAGGCGTGGGTAGCTTCCATGACGATTTGCCGATATCCTTCTCGATCTTGCGCGGCATGTAATAATTCATCTGCTGATAAGCCAGTCCATTGACGAAGGTTTCGGAGCCATGAGTATTTCTTTCTACCAATTCCTCTTCTTCCGTCGATCTTTCCGTTGAGTATCAACTGCATTATCCTGTATCTGCTTCCTCTCATTATATGCCCCAGATATTCGAGTTTTCTCTTTTTTATCATCTTTATTAAGTCACCTTCACCTTGACCTACTCTGTTCAAGACTTCTCTGTTTGAAATGTGTTGAACCCATGATATTCTGAGCATTCTACGATATAACCACATCTCGAAGGCTTCTAATTTGTTCATCATGTTAACCTTCATAATCCAGGTTTCACATCCATACAGTAATACAGGATACACATAACATTTTAGAAACTTAATTCTCAGCTGTAAGTTCAGCTGAGAATTGCTCAGAATAGATCTAAGTTTCATAAATGCTCCTCTTGCAATTTCTATACGAGTTTTAATTTCTTCATCCGGATTTAGTGTCTCGTTTATCCAACATCCTAGATATTTAAAATGGTTAACTTTTGTTATCGGTTCATTATTGACAATTAGTTGTATAGCGCCGAGGTCTTGTTTACTAACCACAAGTAACTTTGTCTTTGTTGTATTTATGCTTAGTCCGTTATTAGAGCATTCTCTAGTGACTCGATCTATAAGGAATTGAAGATCTTCGATACTTTCAGCCATTATTGCGGTGTCATCTGCATATCTGATGTTATTAACAGTTTCTCCCCCGATTCGAACTCCACATTGCCCTTCCAAGGCTTTGTTAAAAATTATTTCTGAGTAAACGTTAAACAAAGTTAAGGACAACACACAACCCTGTCTAACACCTCTTTGAATACAAATTTTGTCTGTTTCTTTGCCGTCTACCAGAATAGAAGCTTCTTGATTCCAATATAAATGTTGTAAAAGTTCAGATCTTTATCATCTATTCCAATTATTTCTAGATATTCAAACAGCCTACCATGTTGAACCCTATCAAACGCCTTCTCAAAATTTATAAAACAGACGTAAATTGGTTTCTGTACTTCTCATGATCGTTGAAGTAGTGTTAGCATTGAGAACAAAGCTTCCCTTGTTCCCAATCCTTCTCTGAAACCGAATTGTTTATTTTCCATTGTGTCTTCACATTTCTGCTTGATTCTATTAAGAATTATCCTAAGAAGTAGCTTGAGAGAGTGACTCATGAGACTAATTAGTCTAAAGTCTTTACATGATGATGTATTAGGTTTTTTTGGAAGTGGGATAAATGTAGACTCCAACCATATTTGTGGCAGTGTTCCAGTTTCGTATATGTGGTTATAAATGTTTGTTAGTTCTTAGACATTGTCGTCGTCTAGAAGTTTGAGCCAGTCTGATGGTATTTGGTCAGGACCTGGAGATTTCCCATTTTTGCTTTGTTTGATGGCTTTCTCTACTTCTGCTTTTAAAATACTAGGACCAGTATTTGTATACTTTGTGGCGTTAAGTGGTGGCCTCGTATCCAGGAAGAGCTCTTTTATGTAGTTGGTCCATTCTTCCTTTTTTTCGTTTACGAGTCGAGAATAATTTTACCTTTGGAGTTTCTCATAATGTGAGGAGTTCTTTTTTCTGAGTGTAGGTAATTTCTTTTTTTGTGTATATTAAACTCGTCATGTTTTCTTTGTAGTTTTTCCATCTCACGACATCTCTGTTCCATCCAGTCCTCTTTTGCTCGCTTAACCTCGTATCTTATTTGTCGATATATTTCTCTATATCGAGTCTCATCTTTATTTTTACAATTTCTTTTTGCTGAATAAGGTCTAGTATGTTATCGGTCATCCAATCCTTTTTCTTTACTGGCTCTTTTTCTGATTTTAAAACTTCGTTTGCTATGGTAACCATGGCGGAATTCATTATATCTATATTTTGTCCGATATTTTCTTGTTCAGATCTTTCTAGATGTTTTTTAATTTCATGATTTATCTTATTTCCGAACTCATCTGCTATTACGGCATTTCTTAGGAGTCGATTATTATGTTTTTTCTGAGCTGTATTCTTACGTTACACTTCCAAAACGATAACCTGATTTTTCTAGCCAGTAATGATATTCCCTATACAATATAGAAAATGTAGAAAAAAAAATTATAGAAAAATTCATCCGCGACAGCGATCCCTGAACTTTGTGATTATTACATGACGGTTGGGTGACTTCAATTATTTCGGTTAACCCGTTTAATATTTCATTTTTCTGTGCACAGTGCAATACTAATAAATCATCTTCATCGTATTAGTAGTCACTCCTAACATCTTAATCATCATTCAGTCGGATTAGATTATGGTTTATTGACAGTACGCTCTCGGGTATTTATCCAAATAAAAATATCGACCATATCGACTCCTTATCTCTATTGAATTGACGGACACGTCTTTTATTCAGTTTTGGTACAGCACCAGCACGTATTCACTTATGCCAATTGGAGACGTCAGTGTCGGCCACAGCTGCGGAGTGCATCGTGCTGAAAAAAACTTAGTTGAAGTGCGAACTTCGTCGACTGCGAGCGTTGAGTGTCTGTAGTTTTATAATTATAATTTCTGTAGTTTTATTTGAAGTTATTGTTCTTGTTCAGTGGGACTGTTTTGTTTTATAGTGCAGAATTGCAGCAACAAGGGGTGAGTTCGTTGTTTCAGTTTTAGTTTGGATAATTTCTAATATTTAAATTATAAAAAGGAAAGGATTCTTTTATAGTTTTCTAAAATGAAAATTTGTAATAATGTACTCGTTATAAATACTCTTAAAACTTATGTTGCTAGTAAAGTGATAAAACATGTTTTATACTTTTTGATTTTACAATAATTATTAGTAGTTCGATTTCGGTATTGTTGAGTTTGTGATTTCCTATTAAGAACCAGATTTTTGACAGCAATAAAACGTGAGTTTTAATACCTGCGTTTAACAATTAATATTATTTACGCCTTCTGTTATCTTCACCCATATTTTGTTATTAAATTCAGACTTCTTCTTTTTAGAATGCCGTCTCCCTACGGAGGTTGGTAATAATAATGGCTATTTTTATTTTTGAACTTGCTGCTCTAAACAAATCAATCGATCTGCATTGATACCAATCACGTAGATTTTTCAACCATGAGTCCTGCCTTCGGCCAACAGATCTTCTTCCTTGAATCTTTCCCTGTATTAGTCTTGATTGTCCTATTGAGTCTTAAAATTTCATATTTTGGTCCCCTCATCACGTGGCCTAGGTATTCCAGTTTTCTGGTTTGTATAGTGGTGATTAGTTCTGTTTCTTTAACAACCCTCTCCAGTACTTCTTTATTTGTAATTCTATCAGTTCATGATATTTTTAATACTCTGCGGTATAACCAGAGTTCGAAAGCCTCGATTCTTTTTAAATTACATTTTTTTAATGTCCAAGTCTTAGCTCCATATAATAATATTTAAAATATATAACAGCTTATGGACCGTACTCTGATCTCCAAATGTAGATTTGTACTTCGTTTTTTTAGCGTTTATAGTAATTCCCATCTCAGCACTATTCACACTTAAGCTTTCGATAAGATGTTGTAGATCTTCTATACTCGTTGCTATGCTGACAGTGTCGTCTGCATATCGTAAGTTGTTAATTAATTTTCCGGTAATGGTAACTCCCGCTTCGATATTATTGAGCGTGTTTTGGAAAATTTCTTCAGAATATAATTTAAATAAAAGTAGCGATAAAACACATCCCTATCTAACTCCTCTACAGATCTTCATTTCTTTTGAGTGTTGCCCCTCAATTTGAACTATGCCACTTTGGTTCCAATATAATGTTTGCACTATATTTATGATTTTACTGTCAATGCACTTGTTCATAAATATTGATATTAGTTTTTCATGTCTTACTTTATTGAAAGCTTTTTCGTAGTCAAATCAATATGTTGATGGCAAATAGTCCTTCTCGAGTACGCATTTCATTTCGGAACCCGAACTGCGTCTCACTAATATCCTCCTCTAGCCTTTCTTATATTCTTTTAGGTATTACTTTCAGCAGAATTTTCAAGATCTATCGTTCGATAATCAGAGCACTCTTTTGCTGCTTGTTTTTTAGGGATGGTTATAAATGCTGACTTCATCCACTCTTGTGGTATTATTCCTGTATCGTACACTGTGTTAAATAAATCTGCCAATACTTCCAAGTTATTGTCTTCCACTAGTTTTAACAGTTCTACTGGTATTTCATCTAATCCAGCTGCCTTATTGTCTTTAGAGTTTTTGATAGCATATTTGATTTCATTTATCGTGATCTTCTGTCTCCCTAAAGTATTTAATTCTTGTATTTCTGCATTTCACCTCGTTCATCTTGGAAAAGTTCTCTAACGTACTCCTCCCATCGTCTTAATTTCTCTGGTAAATATATTAGTAGTACTCCTTTTTTGTCTTTTATGTGTCCTTGCTGTCTCTATTTCGAACCATTCCAGTCACTTCTCTTATTCTTTGTGCATATTTCTCATATCATATTTTGTTTCTAGTTCTTCTATCTCTTTATATTGTTTCATCAAATAGATTTCCTGATTTTTTATTTTTTCCTAATTATTCGTTGTATTTCTTTATACTTCTGTAGATCTTTTCCTTTATATTTCCTTCTTTCTTGAGCTGGTTTCAGTATTGTGTTTTTATATTATACACCTTTTTTTATTTATTTACATCCATAATTTGTTTGTTGTCAGTTAGTGTTTTTTGCATATTAAAATTTACATTATTTTTTAATTGGTTTTTTATTTCTTCGTTTTTTAGCATTCTTACATTTACATTATTTTGGTTGTTGTTTTCTGAGTTCAATTCTTTTTAATTTTATTTTCACGTCAGTAACTAACGGATTGTGGTTTGAGTTACCATCTGCTCCAGGATAAGTTTTAATTGAGGTTATAGAGATTTTATATCTGCTATTTACGAGTATAAAGTCTATCTAGTTTCTGACAATGTGGTTTTCTGTATGTGAAGGAGACGTCCATTTATATAGTACCATATTCTTTTTTTGACAGAATTCTATGAGCCTTTTTCCTCTCCCGTTTCTAGTTCCTAATCCGAACTGTCCAACTATATTTTCAAATGTACCTACTCCAATGTTTGCATTAAAGTCGCCTAAAATGTAAGTAATATCTCTAGATTTTGTTAACTTGATTGTATTGTGCAATTCTGAATAAAACTTTTCGATCTCATCTTCGGTTTTATCAGCTGTGGAATGCATAGACTTGGATAATATTAATATTACAGTTCCGTGCTTGAATTTTTAGCATTATTATTCTTTTTGAGATTGAGATCTTATGATGAAAGCTACTCCGTATCGATGATCAGTTTTGTCTCCTCCAGTGTAATAAATATTGTGGTTATTTATTGATATCTCTCCATTTCTGACATTGTACATCGTTAACCCCAAGTATATCTATATTTAGCCTCTCTTTCTCTTTAATAACATTATGTAGTTCTCCAGGCTGATACATACTTCTTACATTCCAGGTAGCTATTTTTATCTGAGAGGGTTGAGTATTTTTTTTTGGTTTTTTGTGCAAGGGTTTCACATGTTGACGACCGAGGAGGCCTTGCGTTATGATGGTTGTCCTCCCCTGCCGGATTTTTGTCACCGATTACCATAATCAATAATGTCTCTTGCGCAAATAGTGCAAGCCATTATAATTGATACTAGAGATGTCATCAGGGACCTATGATGCAGTGGTTTCTCGTTGCCTTTTGCATTCTAATGCCGTTGACCACTTTCTTGATTCTTCGCCTTCGAGATCAATTTCTCAGTCTAAATCATTGGCCAGTAAATGGTGGATTGCTTATTCCGGCAAACACTCGGACATCAGAGCCTCGTTAGTTATCTAGCAGGATGTACCAGATGACCATGATCTAGATTATCATACGTGCAGGTAAGGTTGACATTTGAATAGGAGTGTCTATATGTTGCGCTTCACTATCCCATTACATACCATAAATGAAGACAGACGCACATACTTCTGACTGTACCTAAATTGTCTTTTTATTTTTGTTGTCATTACTGTAGTAATTCATCTTTCACATAATAATTGTCAACCGGTGATGCAATTTTTTTTAATTTGAAAATTTTTAATGGTACGTGTGGTTAGCTGATGGAAATTCAAATTTCAATAGACAACCAACCTAACAATGTTAACGTACCAACTATAAAATAGAAGCGCCTTCTCTGTTTTTCTGTATCAACGTTTCATGTAAGAATTAATATTGTAAACAGTGTTTTGTGTTGCCATATGGCAACGCCAGTCTTTGACGGGTTAAACTGATTATTTAAGTGTGCAAACAATTTGTAATCCTCCCTTCACGCCACGGAATATTGTTGTCGCTTCAACCTACTAAACTCCCGTTGAGCTTAATAATGTTTAATCATGTGCTTAACCCCAATATCTGTTTCTTAATTGAGAATTAAATTTGTATTTCCAAATCTATTAATTTTTAGTATTTTAAATAAATCCAATTTGTGATTGTCTGAGCAAAATTTCAAAGTTGTTGAACTCATGGGCTTCTGTACTCAAATGTTTGCCTTATTTTGAATTGTTTTACCTTAGAAAAAAGTACCTATATATTTCGTTTACTGTTTTTAAATTTTCTTCCTGCCTGACCCAGGTATACTTTTGGACATGTACCATGTACTATAAGCAATAGGTTCCACTATAGTATGCGGTCTACCCCGAGGATTCGGTCTACCTGTGCATATACGTACGTATATGCTATACGTACCGATTATTATATCTACCGTTCGCAATCTGAAAATTCCTGAAGGATTTACACAAAATACAATGAAACGCAATAAAACTCTTGTACAAAAAATGCACCTCAACTATTTACCAAAAAAAAAATTTATTTAACCTAATTATTTACAAAACGATACAGCCTAATTATAATTAAGAAAAAATTCTTGCACCTAAATTTAAGAAAGAAAAGCCGTCCAAGATTTTAGCTTAAAAAAGGCATAAAGGCACTCACCAAGAATTTTTCTTGGGCGTTTCTTCTAGTTCCTAGATTTTATATAAACTAGTGTATTTTTTTATATTTTATACCTCAAAAACGTCTTTTATTAGATAATATACCACCTCACTTGATCTTATTTGTATCAACTTATTGCCTCTTATATTTATTGTTCGTTAAGACTCAAGCTCACGGAGCAAGTTTACAAGCTAGAAGCGGGCTTCTCACAAGGAGCTCGTAAACTAGGTCCAGTGTACTCGATACATTCGCTCTTTTAGCTGCGTGTATACAAGCTCTGGAAAAAGTTAACCTACCGGCGACTTTACACGCTACTCGCTGGCTTTTGAGCGAGCTAGCTTGAAAAGTGTACTCACGTTAAAAAACATCACTCGTACAAATTATTCATTAACACCAATAAAATCACCTTAATCATTCATAGAAAGGGACATTTTTTTATTAATATTTTGTTAGCAATATCTCCTACCCTCACTGGGTACAGGATTTTTCGATTAAGAGAAATTTTTGTGTCCGTTAATTTGGTACTATATAGCAATTCTTTCTAAAAATATCGAAGATGACTTTACTTAGTAGTAGTGCATTTACTCAATACACACAATACGCAAAACAAACAAGAGTTTCCCACAGAATGGGCTAGGTACAGAAATTCCGCAAA